CCAAATTACTCTCCCAGTGAGGCAAAGGGACTTTTTCACCGTTGCGGTTGAAGTAACCAAAATGGGGCACCTACCGGCCCACGGGTAAAACGATCAATAATGGTGAGAATATGATTAAAACCGTTTGATGGGGGTACTAGACGAACAAACTTGCTTGAACGAAGCATCAGGAATCGCAGATCAGCCGAGAGATGAGTCCCTGTGGCGAGTAACTGCGTTGACAGGCGATACACTAATTGGCCCGGGATGTTATATCCTTATTCATGTAGGGCCACACAAATCGTGCGCAAATAACCTTCTCTGTTACCTCGATTCCTGGATGAGACAGTCCGTGATAGTGGTCGAAAATTTTTTGGAAAGCTTCGGGGACAATACAGGGAGCTTTACCGGAAGACACCACAAAAATTGTTCCACACCGGAGTGGTCAAGGGATCGAAAAATGAAAAGACAAGAGGGAGGTAAACTTGAGATCAAAAATGCTGAAGTTTCGCCAGCATGGCCAGGTCCAACTGCATCAAAAGTGGGAGGTGTCGATGTTTGGCGGGATGGGCCGTCTGAAACCGAATGTCGGGAGTAAATTGAGATATATAGTCCAGATGACGTATCTCGCGTGGTGAACAGTGATCAGGCTTGGAATTAGAAGCATACGTAAGTGGTTTATGATCGGTTTGAATGGTACATGATCTATCCTCTGAAAATTGCCGGAAATGCCGGGCGAGGTGTTCAAGGCGCTGTTGGAACTCGGCCTGAAAGAACAAGGTTGTTGGCACTTGCGTGCTTTGGGATTGAAAGTTTGGTGATTCTAGCATCGAAACGGACGGGAACGCGATAACTCTTGATGGTGTGAACGTGGTCGATGATTGCTGACCTTGAGCCGTTGTTTCAGAATTGTCTCGTTTATGTTACATGTCTGTGTATTTCAATGGAAGGTTGTATCTAGAATGGCAAGACCAATTGGAACCTACGCAAATGTCCCGGAAAACTTATAGAACTTGTGAGCCTAATAACTTCCGAAGTAAAAAATGCGAACCATTAGATTCTGAGATGGCTAGTTGAGCCACACAAGATGCGTAGCTGCAGTTGTCGTATACATTCTAGTAGGTTGTCCTATGCTGATGACGTAGATAGGCAGTGCGCTCTAGTTAGTTTTTTAGATCGGCGGTCGTGACAGCATTTTTTAATCAAACATTGATGAATCGTAAGCTGCTCAATCGAAACATTAATTCGTGACTAATATGGATACTGAGTGTGAGCCACGAGAGAGGTCGAAGGAAAACGTTTATAGTCTGATAGAAATATGAATGTATTATTATGTTTCTGTAGTGTTAACTTGCAACCGGCGGAGTAAAAATGGGCGGACATGCAGCTAATCAAGTCAGAAAACCCTACCCTGCATGGTTTATAGAAGCGTTTGCATAATTTGGCCGATATTGTGATTGTATTTTCTGACATTTATTTGAAAAACCATGCACCGTTGAGGCATTTGCCATCATCTATCTGTCTCATGAAAAATTTATTGGTCGAAGGATTAAATACTATACAAACTCTTGATGGCTAATTGTTTGAACAACAACGAGGAAGGAAGCTCAAGCTTCGTCCAATAAACTGATAAACCAGATCGACAATGATAGAATATTTCTCGAGTTTCCAAGTCACGTTCACAACTCTGCCCCGGACCAATCAAACGCAAATAGGTAGAATCATACTTCCTGGCTCCTTTGTCGCAAGCCTCCACCAAAGTGATGCATATGTGTTGAGGCACCGTATACCAGAATGTTTAGGCAACCTATCCAATAAGGTAAAGGCAATGCAGTCCGTGGGTTTGCGCTGGTTACCGATAAAACCAGGGGAAATTTATGAAATTAAGAATAACACACCATTCAAAGTCATTTTGATTACGAGTTCTCACACTTCACTTATGATGTAGCATGTATGTTTTGCGGCTAATTTCCGGAAGAAAAAATATGTTTCAGCTGAAACTATGGGATCTGGTTGCTTCTGGCCATACCCCCTTTTCACTGATTTGGCCAACCTTATATCTTTTATCGAGGGCTCATCCGCGTACACTCAACAACATGCGGCCACATTCAAGAATCTCGCTGAATAAACTTTGAGCACTCTAGTTCATCAATGTCTGAATTCCCTTACCTCATTCAACCTGGAACATGGGAGTCGTAGAAACCTAATCGCATCTTGCTAGGAGTTATATCAGATGCTGAGCGAATTTGCTGATTTCTGACTCTCGTTTGCCCGAAAACTATATTGGTTTTGATTACTGTATTTTAAACAACGACATGATGAATTGTGTTCATTCAACAGCCATACACAATGTATTTCAGTCCTGTATCTGTCACCTAATACAACACAGGTAGCGGCCATTTGAAATGCACAGTCGACATTAAATCAAAATTTAGTAGGATTGAAAGTGCAACACCTATAGATCTTTTCATAAAGTCAAGATGCGTTCAGGTTTGAAACAGTTAGGAGAACGAAGAAACTTCTTGTGAACGGCGCGGACATTGCTGGACTGTCATCTATCTGTCACCTGGACTGTCTGCTATAGAAAACAACTTGAAAAAAGGGTCTGGTCTTGTTTTGATCATTCTTCAACGCTCTGCAAGGTATGTTTCCTCGTTTTATACCATTCGAGGTATGAAACATGTTCGGTGTTTCGGAATGGTAAAAACTCACTGGCATCCCGGGAAGTCCTAGTCAACGTCCTGTCTGATGTTCTTGAGGTCTCCATGTCCACCATTTATTGGTGTAATTTAGGCGAGCCAAATAGATGAGTCAACGTTGTGGTGCAAATCACAACTCTTATAGGGCCGCGTTACGATCAAAATGCGTCACGGAGAACTGTCTAAGAAAGCATGTTATCTGGCTGCAGCATTCTACCCCACGATTTGTAGTGGCAAACACTTTTGCACCGGACCTAAGCGATTGCCCCAGTTCTATGTTGATTCAGCATAGAGACGGATGTGATAAGCGCACGTAATTGATTTTCGAACTAGCAGGTTCTCGCTGGAATCAGATATCTTAGATAGGCGAACTGCTGTAAGGAACACACGCAATTCTCTTGAACAATTCCGCATAGGTTATACCCCTTGAGACTGTTAAGTGCAATTTTTTGAAGAATAAATTTCAATCCTGATGCGTGATGTGGCAGTCCATCTATTTGGGCATTTGGAAAAGTCTCGACAAGCTTGCGAATGAAGAAAAACGCTATCTAAAGCTTGAAGACCAGAACGAAATTTCTTCATTTTTCGCTGCGAGGTGACGTCTGTTTTTCCTTTTTCCGTAGGTTAAAAGATCACACTAGGTGTGTTTCACCGGATAAGCCATAAATCAAAATAAATCAAGGTAACTCAAGGTAAATCAAGGTTATATTGGTCTAAAAAGCATTTTGCTTTACAATGACCAAAGGATATTGGTGTGTGTGTATGTACACAGATAAACGAAATGTACTATATCTGCCCGACGGCCGCTTGACTCGTGGATCCTTCCTCAGCCAGTCGCGTTTTAGACGAAGGTGACCCACAGCCGGTCAGTGAACAATTTCGCAATGGAACTTGAATGAGAATTCCAACCAACCGGGTAAGCATCTCTTCCGTGGACTGAAGCCTTCGAGTGGAACGAACCACTGGTCACTGATACCGTATTTAATAACGGTTCCCAATCGAAGCACAGCTTCCAGTTGGCAGATATTAAACCCCCTGCCAGAGAACGTTTACGCCATTGAATTGGCTGGGTCATTGTTCCAAGCGTTTGTCTCCCATGACCTCTTCCTGTCGTTTTTGTACGAACCACTGTGGTTTGGCCGGCGGGTATATATAAATGACTGAACTGGTGGATGGGAAGAAGCTGCGGGAACGAATTGACAAAATGACACGGTTACAACTGCAGTGTCTTACTATAAATCCAGGTCTTATCCACTCACCACGATGCTTTAAGCGAGTTAAACCGTCATCGCGTCACACAATATGTTTAAGTCCAGTGACAAGTAGATGACACTGAGCGGCAAGTTATTTTCACCTTTCTGACCTGTTTCACCATTCTACAGGTAGGCAGTCTGTGAGCTTCATTCAAACTTGTGCTCCCCTTGAAACGTATCTGGTCACAATTCATGTCGCCTACAAAAATGTGAGGATCACCTATCAACAATGACATAATTAAATGAAATAATTTAAAGATTACGTTCACGGATACAAGTTATATAGAGACAATCACGCTGAAGCCACCAGCGATTCCGCTTTCTGCTTAAAAAAACCTTCAGACAGTGATATTGAGTTGATCACTCGTGTCAAATACGATGTGGAACCTGCTAAAACTTGTCATGTGTAATATTTCACCGGTTGTGTCTAGCATCCTCTTGCTGACTTTGGGTAGGATGGTGGTGTCGGGGCATCCTAATCAGATTGCCCTTAGTTCGGTGCATTTTAATCATACGGCATTCCAATTGTTGTGTTCAGTGAAGGTCAACTGTCACACTCCATTTGGCGCGTGCAATCAGAGTTATCACCGGAGGCAAACGGGTAGTCTAAATGCTGGGCCAAACAGTATACTGATCATAAGCAACGCTAACTTAGGATGTTTGGAATTTTTCTAATGGTCATCCGGTGCTTTGTCTCGGTCAAACCGAGTACGATGAAGTGAGCTGCCAAATATTTTTCATCGATGTGTGTGAGTACATATTTTCATAGTGTGTTATTACAGAGAACGAAAAAGGAACTCAACCTGACGTCGTCGACTGAAATGACGATTTACGATTCCAAGCTGGTTTTGCCTTACATGGCCCCAATTGTTTTAGAACTATTTTCACTACGGCATTATTGGAGTTGTGGCGTCTCCACGATACTTCAAATTAATGTTCGATACTGGATCATCGATTTTGTGGGTACCAAGTAAGAGGATCGTGCAAGAGCAACCGATGCTTCGGACTTCGTACAATCCTTTCGCTTCGATATCACACATAATCACGTATAAACCGGTTTCTCTTTGATATGGGGATTTACAAGGCTGATGGTGATATCTTTGCGGATTTTGCACAAGTAAGTGAGTGTTTTCCAATACCAGTTGTCAGATTAACGGTCGATCGCACAGAATTTTCTGCGATGGACACCACAAAAGGCGACAAGGGGCAACAGTACACAACTGACGGGCTCTTTGGGCATTCGATGATGCAGTATCATGCACAACTACAGGCAACCCCATTGCACCATATGTTCTCCCAAGATGTCATTTCACGGCGCGTGTTTACCTTCATCATTAAAAAGTAAGTAAGATTTCAACGAGTTCTTCGGATAAATTTCCAGTAATGTTCTAAAACCAAACGCAATCAATTTGATTTTCTGGAACTAAACAAATGGCTGAGGTTTAGGTTGCTTTTTATTTGAAAGCTTCCCAGACACAGTAAAATATTTCACTGATTCAACCTTTCTGTGGTTGAGAATTTTGATGTCCAAAAGCGCTGTCGCTTGTCACATAAACCGACACATTGCAATTCAGGGAAAAGTAGACTAGCCTCAAAATCACAGAGACTCACAGCACATGAGGCTACCTCAGACAGCAGTATTTTATAAACCTCTGGGAGCGCTTTAATAGACCGCAACCTAAGGTCCAGCAAGTAAGCGGAGTCTAATGTGAAATGACGCTAAACGTTTCTAAGTGACGAGACCTTCATTGGTGAGTATGACTGGATATTTTCTCCAGTTTAGCTTAGAAAGTAGCATTCGAAAATATGGACGAATAGCTGCTGTCTGCCAGGCAGGTCGCTGTACGAGCAAACCGGATCATATAGGGTGTGGCGCATTTCTCTCCGAGGAGCAAATCATGGAAGATGTTCTTTTCAATCGGACATCCCCGCTGAAGTTTCTTGTTGTCACACAGTGGTGCGACCAAGCTGACAAGAGCTTTTGATTATTTAGTAGGGTACATTCATAGTATCAGGAACAAAATTTGCGTTTATAAAAAGAGAAACTCTAGAGAAAAATATTCATTCCGCTTTTGGGGCAAGGTAGACAACATTTTCGTCTGCCCAACGAATGGAACGCTTGGGAACAAGCGTTGGCAAACAAATAGTTCTCCAGGTAGCATGCTACTCATTTGTTTGCTGAAATCCAGTTGGTTTAGTCGACCCCCAAACCACATCTTTGACTGGGCGTTCAAACGTCAGTGATTATACTTTTTAGGACAGCACAATCTTGAGTCTTGTGAAGACAATAATCTATTTGGCCATCAGCCGGTAGTTGCAGAAGCCTCCCTGAGACATTCGTTTCATTCTAGCTTCAATGTAATCCCTTGTCCAAAAACGCGCCACTTGCGCAAAAACATTGTTCGTTTATGTGTCATTCTGCGCGTAAATGTGCTCGAGAAAATTCCCCTAACAATGGGGTGCTTGGCAGATTGGACCCAGTCTCTTTAGGACCACCGGTGACCACGGTTCTACCTGGTGTGTATCGCACCAAGCAAGCATTGTTCATCGGAAGCCCATCAAACTAGTTTTCTGGTCATTTTGAAGTTTGGCCTGACTGAAATGTCGCTTGAGGTTCCAGGTATCTCCACGAAGCTCCATTCTTTACAATGTTTTAACCCTATATTGGTCCAAAAATGTTGTCATTTTCCAGCTCTCTTAGAGGAAGGTAAAAATCCGGGTTTCACTATCCACTCGGGAGGAAATTTTGCCTCATGCAACATGAATGGTATCATGAATGAAAATATTGAATATTGTTGATTACGTTCTAGGTAAAATCATACTGTATTAGAGGACTTGAAATTAATATTGACAAGATAGAATAATAATCGTTGTAAAATAAATTCTAGTGCTTGTGTTCAGTAATAGGTAGCATTACACAGAATCTCTTTTCAAAAATATGCATCAAGTTTTGGAAATGAAAGTTACGCCAAAAATCTTGCAGACCTTTTGTTTGAAAAATTTTCTCGAAAAAGCAGAAAAAAATTGGGTCATTGCTTTGCACTTTCCCTGAAAGTGCTCAGTATATGACGCAGAAATGCCGTTTCCGGTTTCAACTCACAGGGGTCCGGGTTTATTTTATTGTCGCTGTTCGATTTAGAGATGGGACATCGGTGACCGTCATATTTGCAATAGTCCGGGAGAAGTGAACTACCTTTCTATAATCTAGAACACCGGAAGGAAAGACGAATGGATAATCAAGATAATATGGTGAGTCCGAAGAGACGAAGTTCAATGTTTTAAGTTCTTCCAATCCAGTTTTTTCATCAGCAGTCACGTGAAGTACTTTCAATTCCTTGGCATCAACACGAGGATTTCCGTACCCAGATCACAAGTGGAAGGGTATAACCTCGGAAGCCTTCTTGAGTATATTTTCTGGACTAACTGAAATAAAACTGAAAAAAGCCTTTTTAGGAACCTTTTGAGTCGTTGGTGCAATGTCACACCGAACTGGACTACGACTTGCCTTAGTCCTCTGTTCGAAGCGAACATGTAGAGCAATGTACAAATGGACGTATAATTCTTGAAAGCCATTACAACTTCGGTTAATTAACTATGTAGACAGACCAACATTTTCTTTTCGGATGGGTCTAAATCAAATGCTTCAAAAAGCTCCAAATTTCTCGTTGCTGAGTTAGAGCCAAGAATCGTGAACGAGGAGCAACCGTTTGAGATTTCGTCCACATGCACCATGTCCGGTCCGTCTCCTAATTTTGAAACTGGATTTATGGACCAAAAATTTCTGCACCTATTCAGAAAGTTACCAGTTGCAAAAAGCCTACTACTAGCTGAAGTGTAGGGTGATCGAACCGTCATTTTCCATAGCTCCCAGTACTACGAAGACGTGATTGAAGGGTTTCTTTAAGTGCTTCACTTCAACGGTTATCCATCTTCCGATGAATAACGTGAATTGGTGAACCAGTTCCACTTTAAATGGCCACGCCGAAATGTCATGATAGCTGGGGTGATGCTGGTCGCTCACCCCGACAGGATAGAATTCTCAGGGGGGAAGGCGTAGAATGTTCATCGACGAACGTTGCGGTAACATCTGAAATCAACCAAATGTGATTTCATTTTGCCCGTTATTCTCACACCAGCTGTCCATTAATGAGAAATGGTCCTACGCAAATCTAGGCTTCTGACGATATGTGGTCATATTATTCTCCAAGTTTTTCGCTCTGCTCTGCTCTAATAAATTTGCATAGTCCCTATATCACAAGAGCGAAGACAACGTTCGTCTAACTGACAGAAAAACTGGATGTCATTTGATCCATGGCGCTTCTAAAACCTCCAGGTACCATCAGAAAACAACTTTGTACTCCGCACTGTTTGAACCTAGATAGTCCTGGCTTTTCGAATTTTGGACCAGATACTCTTCGGCCAACTTCCTTATCTTCCGTAACCGTCAAGATGAATTATTCGTCGACAGAAACGAATTCTTTCATCTAGGGCATTCGTTTGATGCCCAGACACCGTGAAACAGGAAGAAACTGCGGGAAATGGCACGAAACCAGGTCACCTCAAACTAGACTGCGGCTATTGAACGGACAAGGTTGGGTTTCGAAACCACAGTTAGCCATTTCAACCCCTAACTTTCACCTTAATTTGCGCTCATAATGTAATATGGATGAAGCAACAATGCGCACAAAACATGATGGAAAAAGAGCTAGAAGTAGTTTAATAATTAGTGTAAAAATTTGTAAATATTATGGGGTTGCTTGTATGTGATAGTAAACGGGCAAACGTTGGATTACGCAACAGGGGTTAGCCGAGCTCATTAAACATTTCATCATTGGTTTTCGGATTGGTGCGACACAGTCGGACGCTGAGGTTTTATAGTAGTTTGGTTTCTCTACCTCGATGATTTTATTGTCTAGTAATGCTCCGCTTCTAGGTACGGCGCGGTTTCCCTTGCTCTTAATCTGCACCGCCACTTGCGTTCATTATAGAAATGGGCCTATTTTCGATTCACCACGGAAAAATTCTCTTTCCCATGTCTGTTTAGGCTCATTCGTAACAACATTCTATAACTGCCACGCTCATTCAGGATGACGCAATCTATTAACTGGCTCCAGAAGGATGTGTGTTGGGCTGATGATCAGAAAAGCTTAGGCAGTGCACAAGGACAATAAATCGCTTGGGTTTGCCGTTCTTAGCATGATACATTCTACATCATTCAGTGGGTGTAGCCTGGTGACGTCACGGATCACAACTGATTTCACTTAGCCCATATAGTTTGGACGTTTCAAGGAAGAATCTAGGGAATTTTACTCCGCCACAGTAGTGTTTTTGGCGCTTCACGGTACGCCTTCCTCAACGCTGATCGAAAGGCCGTCGACGATGTGCTAGGCGAAACTGCCTCCCCTAACGAACTGAGATCACACCGGCAAGCTAGACGCCCTAATATCATAGCTCCATAAAAGCGAAGCCAGCTGAAATATCGCTGTCTGCCGTTCCGTGTTACGAAGACTATCACAAAGCATGGAAAGCTGAAGAGAGGTCTTGCTGAGGATTCCTTTTTTTAATTGAGAATGGACCACGGATCAGATATGAGCATCTATTTATTTGGAGGACCCTTGGATGTCCAGTGGGTCACTGAAACTGGTCCGCTTCTACAGGTTTCAAACCCGAGTGTGACTCAGCTTCACGGATTGTTTCACGTGACGAAAGACGGAGAGTGTGAGAAATAGTGGTAATGCAATTTCAGAAGTTAAGTTCTTGTTTTGCCATGCATATTGCAACTGAAACTCTTCATTATTCATTGAAAATACTTGATCACACGCATGTCTTAGTATCCGACAGGGTAAATCCTAACGACTCTGCAGTTCGAGGGACGCAGTGGGTTTCTTTTTTTCAGTATCACATTGGAAGATGGCACCGTCCTAGTATCGGACCGGTCAGCATTGACTGACACCGGGCGTACAAACCATATCTACCGAAATCAATTGTGAACAATCTTTTTACCGGTGTCTGGAAACAATTGCACTTGGGCAATCACGTGGTACGATGAGACACGAGGAGGCGAATGCCAACACTACTGGTGAATATTGAAGGCCTTCCACTAAAATGGGAACCAAACCAATATATTTCGCTGGTGAGAACCGAGTTTTGACGATTTTTGGCCTTGTAGTTACCACGTCATATTTCACAGGAGAAAGATTCCTACCTTGCTTTTCCGTCATTGAATCACCCGCGTCCTAAGCGTGGCAAAGTTTGAGGAATGTTCTGGTGGACGTCCAGGTCAACAAGCGTTTAGATGCTCGCCCGTACAGTTATTCTGCTTCGCACATATTAGTCTTTTTCTAGCCACTTTTGTCAGACAGCTGCATGTTTCGTAGGTACATTTGTAGCGTTCCTTCTCATTGGACAATCTGACATTGTCTTCGTTTTGTCAAACCAGCTCGAAATAGGACTGTGTCGGTTACGGTTTGAAGGTGTGGACCTACATAACATACAATACAATCATTGGCCTCTAGTTCCTGCGGCATTTCACCGTGGTACTCGACGTAGATATTGAACAAGTGGGATTCGCCGAACCGATTTGACATTCTTTACTCTAGAATTCACGTTTACAACATTTTGATGCTTTCCTCACAGATTTGTGTTTCCAAGTTCCATTGGTGATTTTTCTAGTAAAACGTAGCAATTTCTGACAAACGAGTCCTTTTATGCGACATGTGGCAGGGATTTCCCACGACGGAGGGATTGGAATGAACTTTCACGGAGCCGACTGAAAACGCGTAACTTATGGGACGCGTTTGACGTGATATCCTTGTAGCCTGGACGAGTCGACGCAATACGCTGTAAGGCAACGGACACACCAGGTTAATTCAGACAGCAGCACGTGTAGTTACAGCAAGCATAATGCACAGATCGTATAGGAAAGCAGAGCGACCGCGTTGCGAACACACGCAAATTCGATACCGGAGCCCGAACCCGAACCGGAACAACGGGTAGAGGTCACGTAAAGTAGAGTAAGAAAAACAGGTTACGGTCACTCGGGAGAGGGGTTTGTCCAATCAGACTAATCCTTCCTGTCCGGCGCTCGCGGTGACTCGTCCGGGATACCTGTAAGCGAGAGACAGGGAGAGGTGCACACGTAATGTCATGTTATAAACATGTGTAAGCAGGAACAGTCAAGATTCAATTACGTTAAACTGCATGAATACTGTCCTCATTGCTTAGAAGGAGTGTTCGTGTCGGATGTACTGATCTGAACGTTATGACAGACAGGTTGGAGATAGGAGGGCGTAGGCGGCTGGGTGTCAGGACGGGAATAAGTGTAGAGCTTTTACTGATTTTAATGTTCATACTGTACATCCACATGCGGTTCAGAAGGGTCCCGAATGACATGGGTGTAGTCTGGCCTCTTACTTGCGATAAAATAAGGTCCCTACCACATGCGGTGGAATTTTGTGGGCGCACCCGGTGGTGCTTGTACGCCTAAACTGCGCGGTTCGGCAAAAATAGACGATGTCGTGAAGTTAAAAAACAAGCATCACGAAAATTTTCTATTATCCCGGAACGGAATACTTCTGAATGTTTCATTGAGTTAACTCAAAATCGATCTTCAGACAAACCATACATCCACAATGATGCACCATTTGCTATGATTTGGACTAGTGTGTGATGGCATTGTAACTGTTCAGAATTTTCGGGAAGGGTAAGATTGGTGGTCGTTGGCTTGTCCGCTGAGCAGGGCAATTTGATCGCAAACGTTTCATCACCAATCAAGGTGACATCTTGCCTCGTGCCACCGTATGCCAAACCTTCTGCGTTTTCCAAGTTGAATTTGTGGCATTCTTGGTCCTCGTGCATAGTCTCCTGCTAGTTTGTCCGACGAAGCTGGGCAATCAAATGGCCCAGCTCATAGAACAAGCCAACGACCACCATTTGCGCTACCTGAGCTACCAACATTTTCCCCTATAGAAATGTCTGACTAGACATTTCCCCGGGGAATCTATTGCTGGTTACTATGTGTGTTTAGCAAAAGATGCAGTACATTTTGATAACAATGAATTAACGCATAAATAAAGATTGGCAACCTCCTCATATCGATTCATAATTCGTAGTTCCTAATTGAAAAGAACCTAATTCGATCCTATCCTGCCCGGCATCGGATAGATTCCAGGTGGGTCTCTCTCAGTTCTTAAGGTCACAGTAGCTTGTTTTGGAAAACTGAGGCACATTGTGAGGTTTTGTCGAACAAAGTTTTGCGTTTTGTGATCACTACCACACGTGATTAAAATATGCGCTCACGTTCGAATTACGGTTAGCCTCGTGATGTGGATGGTGCTTGCTTTGATAAGCCATGTCTACATGGCAGTTTCGCGCACGAACGTGCAAATGTAAATAAGCCCTACTGGAGGTTGGCTTACACGACCCTTCACATCAGAGTTTGGGAGAGTATGATAGACAGATATAGGAACGGAAATCACTAATCGCACCGTTTGGGCACAACATCCGATTAATGAAATTTAATCACACAGCCTGAAATGTACTATGTTTTCGTTCGTCTCACGAATGTGATACAAATCCGTTTGTGCTGTAAACTAAACCCCACAGGATGGTACTTAGTTAACAAAATCTATCTTCGATCAATACTCGATTGATTGATAAATTTCTTTGGACTGTATAGGCAGCCTAGGAAGTGCTGGCTGTTTTTCTGGCATATGCAGATAGAAAACCCTTCACAGAAGCATGTTTCCGCATTATTTATAAGACATTAAAAAGTCGGGAATCATGTTATGAACTCTTTATTGCTAATGTACTGGAAAGCTGTACTGCGAGCTCCACGCGAGAGCATCTCGGTTTCATTTGTGTTTAATGGACGCCGGTACATCCAGCGGGCGCAAGATTTTGCGGTGGAAACTTGTAGGATAACTGCAGGCAGCAGACAGTGGTGTTCAAATCATTCAGGCGTACTTCCGGTGACAACAACTCACATAAATGTCCGCCCAGTTATTGAATTCTTGTGGGTAGCTGCGGTCGTTTCCTTCACTTTCCTCACGTCAAACGGTGCTCACGATATGAACGGCTATGATAAAGCTATATGTGAAGTGAATCCGCGAACCGAGACATGGAGTTGTTTACTTCATTCGACAAAGGCAGGTTGTTTTTCACAGGAATTAAGGGTCCGGCATGTGTGATTTCCGACAAATTTAACCACTCCGTATGCCCGGGGGCTTTGTTGTACAGTAACCAATTTAAAAGGTGGATTAAGCGCCAAATGTACCACGAATCACTTTCACATGCGAGCATAACTGCAAGTTCCGTTGGTATGGCAACACTATAAATTCAAAAACACTTGGTTGGCTCATTAGTAGCTTGTCACCAAACAAGTTGCCCCATTTTGGAAAGAATACCCCTCCTTAAGACAGAAACTTTAATATCAAAGCCGTTGACATTACATATGCTTTCGGAAGTCCAAGGAATCCATACTCAATTCCAGTGTGACGGACGATGGCTTATACTATATACCGAATGACGCAACTGTAGCTATGGAAGAAACGTGGCTCGGTTCCATGTGTAATGTGTCCGCCTCAATGTCACTCAAATGACAAGTGACAGGTACTTTCTGTCTGGTAGTGTGTTCAATAAAATTACCCGTAATGGTTTCCAATCAATTGAAAAAGGTTTGGAACCGATTGAGGAGTTATCGTTTCAGAAGAGGTTGATAAACAATCGGTAGTTTTTTTTATTGGGGCAACGTTTCGCTTTTGACGCAAAAGCTTTGTCAGGCCAGGGGAACAGGTCATCAAATTGGCCAGGTTATAAGAGAGACGGGGAAACAATCGGCAAGGGCTCTTCAGATAATCGCAACTTGGCGACATCCACACTTGACCTGATGAAGCTTTTGTGTCAGAGGTGAAACGATGGACAAATAAAAACTACCGATTGTTCACCAAGCGCTTCTGAAACGAAACGTTATCTGTAGTTCCGTAGTTCTTCAACTGTCCTCGGTCGGTGGACTGGGTCGAAGTAAGTTTCCTAAGAGTCCGCCAGGTGGAATTTCCGGGGCTATATAACTTTTTCGTTGATATTGTTATCCGAAAGGCATATTCATAAAATATCATAAACGAGAGATTCAGTCGAGTCTCCCATGAAACCAAATTCATTTGCAAATGATTATGTGTGGGTTCAAGTAGAACATAAGTTTGAGGGAAACCCGGGGACTGCGCCTACCTGAAGAGCACTCAGGAATCGCAAAACCGGTCTTGGGCTGCAGAAGAATTTTTAAAAACATTGTGAGTTGCAGCCCTTATGAAAGAATATTCATCAAGTTTTCAACTTTCCTACCAACATTTTTGTGCAAGTTTCCAAAAGCAAAACGGTTTTCGTTGAACGTAGTCGTTCCCTGAGCGTTTTCCATACTCCGTTATGATGTCAAACTGCGCTACCCGAACTCCACTTAATTCAGAGTACAGCTTTCGTGATTCGTGCATCGTTTCTGGGTGACAATACTATATGACACACTTGATTTGTCTTAAAACGAATCACTTTCTTTGCTGTCGTTTTTTTAACGATTACAATTCTCCGTGGTTATTTACAATTCACTTGACAAGAGTGGAAAGTGTTAACAACTCTGATTGTGAGCGAAAACGAATGGCCGTTTTGGCAAGCCTTTTAGTGTGATTCCACACACTCAAAATGTACGGTAATTACTTTTTCAGCGCCTATGAACAATCCAGTCTACAATAATTTATTTGGCCAGTTTATCAGTCTACCTCAGCTCTCCTCTATACTGACCGCATGACCACCGAATCTTAGAATGTGAAATTTTTGTCAATCTCCCAAGTAAACGGAAGTGTTTAGAACAAGTTATTAGTACAGCTGAAGGAAGTGCCCTAAGCCAAATTAACGGCATTCGAAAACGTACCATTCCGGCGTTGTACCTTTTCCGTGCGTTAATTAAGAAGCCATATTCGAAGGAACGGCTGTTCCAGACCAT